CACCTATTTTTTATTTACTTGGCGATTTAAAAATTATCTGCGCGTGGGAGATTAAAAGTATATAAAATCACAATTAATACGATTTTTTAAAATCAAAGGTTTTTCCCCCCTTTCCCCCTGTTTTTTAAAGAACTAAAAAAAAGAATACTAAGGAAGCATATTTTTAGTTGCAGTTAGAGCCACTAGACGGCGCTGTACCTTAAGGGCTCTAAATACTACACAGTTCCGTTTTCGAATTATGATCAAAATTATGCTGGCTTATTATGCAGTAACATTACTCCTATTCTGAAGAAAAGACACGCGTTTTAGTTAGCTTTAGTTATGCTGGATAGGTTTGCATGCAGCATCAGACATTCCTCTTTCAGCGAAGGCTAAAATGAAACAATAAGTGCTAGATTTTCGGGAGGAATGATCCAGACTTCATATTCAACATTTTTCATAAGTGGAATATCTGAAGTTACAAGGTATACACAGAAATACGAAAAAGTGCTATGCAATCATATACAAGTAGTATATCAATGATTCCTTTTATAGATTTGCTGTTTCTACGACACAGTCTCATTTTTAGGCTCAATATTAATTACTGTCATTAATTACTGTTTATTGCTCAATATTAATTACTGTCACCCCTGTCTCGTAAATGTAACTAAAAAAAAAAAAAAGGCTCTCAGGAAAATTAAGCGTAATTTTATGCATAACTCTATCAGTCACGTTATTACACATTAAAAGCTCTCTCTTACAATTTACTGATTTTGGATTATTTTGAAGATTAAAGTTTTTATGGTGCATACTTTTATTGTTCTGTTCTACACAAATGTTCTATAAATGACGGATATTAGAAACATTCATTTCTTTGTATTATACTAGTTTTTTTTTTTTTTTTTTTTTTTTTTTTCATTGAAGTAGTTAATATCCGAAAAGAACTAGTCCAAGAATGAACCAACAGCAAAAAATTTTAACTCAACAACATTTATTTTCTCTTTCCTTTCTCTTAAACATCATACAGCATTTACGCAAACAAACTAAGAGCAAAGATGAAAACTTATATTGAAGCCATAGCATAGATTGTTCAAAGAAAGACGTTGCTAATGAGAGCTGATACATTAAAAATAGATAGAAGCAGAATTTGGCACAGTAAGGGGGAATGTGCTAAATAAAAAAAGCATAAAAAGGTTCTCCCCCCTCTAAAAAAGGAAAGTAGTTAAAATTTTATACCTTGTATATCTGGCTTTATCTGCATACATGTAGCGGTTTTAATCAAAACAATTCTTGTACAAATATATTTTAAATAAATAGTGTGCGGACTAGGACTAAAATATTTACTACTTACGTACTTTTAGATTAAAACTTCACAGCAAGAACTGTTACATAGTATCAAGTTTTTGGAATCCAAGGTAAGAAGAAAAACTTTAAAGCGATTCCCATTCACTTTTTTACTAGTTATGATTCTAAAACGTTCTCTTGCATATAATAAAGAATAAAGCAAAGAAAATATGCTTTTTAAGGAGGGATTAATATGACTATTCTTTAAAACTTTCAATCACATAATTAAATATAGAGAAACATGTTTAAAACTTGCCAGTGCTTTTATAATAGCTAAACATCATTTCATTCTTGAAATACAAACGCAATTTTTACACATGATATAGAAATTTGATGAAAGCATTAACTTTTCAACCTACACTAATAATTGTAGTTTAAAGTTGAAAGTCTACAATTAAAGTTATAGAAATATTGTTTTAAATGTAATCTATTTGTTATTTTAAACATAAATTACGCATTACTTAGATTTTATTTTTATTGTTTATTTTTAAAATAACAGAAATATTATTTCTGTATTGTAAAATGTTATTGTTTAAAAATAAACAATATGGACTTCCCAATATTAGAAAAATTTAAACTTTCCCTAAATTTAGCACTAAATCCATCTCTAAAATTATAGCTCTGCTGAGGAATAATTTTACATAATGCATATAAAACAAAATCTAAGCAAAACATTTTCATCCCACTAAATATTTGGTGTATATACGAACAAGACAGAACACTTGTCTGAAAAGAGAACCTAAAGAGATTTCCATTCATACGAAACACAAATCGCATGACGAAAAACAAATTCTTCACATGATGAAAAGCCACTATACAGTAAAAGTCTACCTTAATTAATTGCAAACCTAAATCTCTTGAAGCTGTTGCCAAGAGAAGACTAAGCAAGTAAGAATCCAGAATTACTGCATATCCTAGTATCGCTTTGCTAAGTCCGAAAAGAGTCTTTTCTCTCTTGCACGCAAAGAGCATTTTCATGTAAATTTCCCCTTTTCCCTGACAAGTCATCTTAATCCTACCTGTTTTGAATTTCCGCACTCAACGCAATTTTGATTTCTCCCCCACAGAGCTTCTTTGTACGTGACATTCTCCTTTGCTAGATATAGGAAATGGTTCTGCTGTCACGTTACGCGGTTATTAATTGTTCGTAACTCCGGCTGCAATTTAATTTTGCTTTGAGGAGATAAGGTTTTATTTAATCAATCAAAAGCATATTTACCAACTTTGTTTTATATGAGAAATTTAAGCTACTGTTAGAAATACATTATTTAAAAATGCCTACTGAAATGAACGAAAAGATAAATCACATTGTTGATTACTTTAAATATACTACGACTGACTGTTAATAAGGAGGGAAAACTCATAAATTATTATTTTTGCAAAGAAAATAACTGATTTAACAGATAGATAAAAATATATAATTATAATTTTGTACATTTATTTATTCATTCATTCATAAGCTAAAATAGTTATTCCTAAAAATAAAAATCCTGTATTTCTAGAGATTAAATTTAAGTATATGCATAAATTTTAAAAAGTTTTTTTAATTTAAAAAACACACTAATTTCGCAGAAATATATATCTGGTCATAAAATAAGTATTACATCTTTTGTTACTATAACGGAAAATTTTTAATTATTAAACATGTGCAGCGATAAAACTCACATATTCAATAATATAAACATGCATTTATGAAATATCGTAAGTTAAAAAAATTCATACTGAAGAAATCACGCAGTACTTAGCCAATTCATATTAAAAGTGTTTCGCTTTAGAGGGACCAAAGAAAAGAGAAGAAAGCACGTTTCATGACCTCATTTTAAATAAAAGACCACATATTACTGAATTATGACATGGTTTTACGAATTTGTTATTCGCGAACACACAGAAACATATTCAATTCTTACAAAGGTAGCTATGCGGTTCAAAATTAAATACTTTTCAGCGTTTTATTATTATAATAATAATAAACGAATAAATACTGCCATATAAATTGGCACTAAAAGAAGAACTAAGAATCTCCACTGTATTTCAAGAAGAAATATATTTGCAAAACTATTCAGGTAAATTTTTTTTTTTTTTCAATATGCAATTATAATTTAAGAATTATGTATGTAAATATGTACACATTTATTACAAAATACTCATGCATTTGCAGACGCACGCTTTAAGAATTACAACGAACATTTTAATGTTTCAACTAACATAGTAATGCAGAAGTTCTTTGCATAGAATAATCATGAAAAGCAAATAATATTGCTTATTGCAAAAAATTTCATACATTTATCTATTTTATTTGGTTTAACCTTTTGATTAAAACATTGCTAGGTCACAGATTTTATAGATAATTAGCATAAGTAATAATAAAACTTCCTAGTCTATATTCATATTAATTTCAAATATTTTTTAATGATTTTCTAATCTAGGCAAAAAATAGAAGCATTGTATTCAAGTAAATAAACTAAAAATATTTGCCGATATCTTTTTTTTTTTTTTTTTTTTTTTTTTTTTTAAATTTTTTTTTTTTTTTTTTTTTTTTTTTTTAAATAACAGAAGCAATATTTAGAAGTATTAGATAAAAAAAAAAAAAAGACTTATTTGTATACTGTATACATTCATTACAAGAAATGGAATAATTTCACATTTCGAAGAATTACCACTATAAAGAAACAGCAAAAAATTTCGGAGTTATTATTTGAAGAGGTGTATTATGAGGATGTCATAGTCCTTGAATTGCAATTAACGATAAACACATACAAATTAAATTAATAAATAATTAAGTTATAAATCAAATTAATGAACTTCTTTAAATTTACGATTAGATGTCAAGATTTTAGATTTCCAAGATTGAAAGGAACCACACTCAAGCCGGCAGTTTCCTCGGCTGGGCGCCCAATATTTGTTTTGAAAATAATAATATAAATAATTAATTTAATTATATATAAATAATAATAAAAGAAACTATTTGTATCGATTTGCAAATTTAAAAAAAAATTATATATTAAATTAAAAACACACAAAACTATATTCTTTAATTATGAATAAACGCTTATATCCATTTTCATGCCATCGGAACAACTAAAGTAGTATAAATATCTGACAAAAATTTATCTGCCAGATTCATTTATAAAAACAAAAGTTGACAGATACTTCCGATTTCGTTTTTTTTTTTTTTTTTTTTCCAGAATTTTTCTTAAATTTTCATTTTTTTACTACTTAAATTTAAATTTTAAAGAGCGAAAATCTGCTACCAAAATAATAAGTAAAATAGCTGCGCTTATAAAATAATTTATGCTAATAAAAACTTTAAAAATTCATAAAAAGTTTTTTTTAATAAATCAAAACAAAAAAAAAAACGGAGCACATATAATGCATTATTATAGCTCTCAAAACGCATAATATATGCCTATATAATAATAATAATAAACATTCTTCTCGACTTTATTTCGATATACATTAATCACAGAAATGATATTTTTAAACAACCCGTGGAGAAAATGCTTTATGAAGCTATTACCAGACAATACAGAAGAAGAAAATAAATAAATAAAAAATGCGTATATATCCGCCCCCCACCCCTCCCGAAAAAAAATTGTCTAGAAGTTTGATTAGAGGTACTTTCCCGCTATTTTCTTTCCCCCCCTTTTTTTTAAGGAAGACATTAAAAAAGTACTTACCTTTTATTAAATTTTTTCTTGGTTGCGGCTTTTCTTGCTTCCTTCGTGACATTTCATCTACTACTATTTTTTCCCTTTCTTTTTTCACATGTGGTATTTTAAAAGATATCACATGAAAATCCTTTCATGCATAATAGTTAGTTCACTTTCGCCGCACACAACAAAGAGCAACAAACATGGCTGCCGCTACGGCATGCTGGGTAGTAAATTTATCGTCTGCACCTGCTTTCTTGTATGCGATGTCACATTTAAGAGTCAAAGGATACTCATGTTTATTTCAGTAAAAATTGAAAACCTTCGAATGGCAATGAAAATAAATCAAAACAACTGTCAGTCGTCCCGGTAGTCTGAGCGCTAAGCCTATTTTGAGGTAGATCGGTTTAAAGGGAGGGATGGCGCAACTTTTCCTGCCGTCACTGGTCACGGTAGCTTGCCGAGTCTAAGTTACCCTTCTCCCGCGGCGACCGCAGGCCGTCTGTGTGTTGATAATGATCCTTCTCTCCAACTCCAGTCACTCACTTAGCGGCGGGACTCCCCTTGTGACGTCATGCGCGGGGTGGCGGAAGTGTCTCAGGGGGGAGTTAGTGCTGCTCTCCTGCCTCATCTTACATCATAAGGGTGTCACAGAGCAGTGGTCCGTTTTCGCAGTTTTAATAAAGGTTAAGCAAGGGCAAATGAAAGTATGATAGGATTAGCAGTATTTTAAAATTAATCAGGAAAACATTATTGTCCACTCAAGGTGGTATAAAATCTGTAATTATATTCATGGAAAAAATGAACGAATGTGATGGTTTTTTTTTTTTTTTTTTTTTTTTTATTGTAATGAAATTAATAGGTTTCAACACAAAGCTTTTTAGTGGTGAAAAGCTCTCATGGGATTTGTCACAATTTACTTACTAAAGAGCGCGCAGAATTAACGTTGTACTCGTTAATTCTAAAATGTTGCGATTTTTTTTTTTTTTATCAAACATGTTACAATAAAATAAAATAGGAGCACTTAATAATATGAATTGGTGCTGAAAAAAGTTGTTTTTTAATATTTAAAAAAAATTCTCAGATTGTTTTTTCTCAAAAAGCTCTTACATTCAAACATTTGCTTTTGAAAATTGCATGATTCATTTATTTTTCTTCCAAACTTTCTTCCCTTTCCTTAATACACAAGTTCACATACACATACCCACACACATGCAAAACAAAATAAAGAGGAGAGAGAGAGGAAGAAAAACGGTATTCAACTAAGTAAATAAATATTAAAAAATGTTGCTGTTTTACTAAGTTATGATAATTTAGTTTGTTTATTTAATTATGGCAAAGCATGCTAGGGTTATCTGCCTAAGGGGGTGGATGCCTTCGTGGAGGACTTTCTGAGGGAAACTGGCTTGTATACACGTTACAGATTTGAAAAACCACGAAAACGCCCATGCAGCCAACCCGTTATCGGGATTCGGACCGAACTACCAGTGTTCAGTGACTTTACCGCTCGGCCGCTGGTGGGGCTATGATAATTTGCCCTTTGATTGGACAATTAACTTTGTACATTCATAATGTTATCATCCCAATAAATAAATAGCAAAATAAAAAGAAAATAAATCCAGCTACAAAATAATTTATTTCTCTTATTTATTAAATTTTCAAACTAATATCAGGAGAGCCACTGTTAGGTTCTGCAGTTAAATTACTCAAGTTTACAAATAATTTGCATTCGATAAACTTAAATTGTTTAGTTTTCAATGTAGTAAATTATTAAATCTTTAAACAAAAATTTATTATAATTATTTGGTAATTAATCCCAAAATAATTAATATTATTTTTCTTCTAAACTTTTTAGTCTTTAATTGGAGGAACAAAATTAATTATTACAAAATCATCATTAATATTACAATATCTTTTAAAAGAAAAGAAAGTTTCGTAATTTGTACGAGTTTCTGATTTATTTAAATTGCATCCTGAAAATAAATTACAAATTTAAGGATTATAAAATAATAATTTTTATACAGAACTTAATGTTTAATAATTGTAAACTTGTACACATACACACACAAACAAACATGTATGTATGTGTGTATTAATTTTTTTACTTTTTAAAAATATTATTTAATAAATAATATAATTGATTATTCAAATTAAAAAAAGAATTTATGTACATTTGGCAACTATCTTTTTAATGCGTATAACAAAAATAAAACCAAAATACCTATTAATACACGCAAATGAAATATATGATTATTTATTTCCCAATACATAATGCTGCGAAACAAGAGGAATGAAGCGCAGGGGTAAAAATAAGTTATTAAATAGCGCTCCAAATAAAAATCATTATATAATAAATTTTTCTCAAGTTTCTGTAGACGCAAATAAGCAGAAAAATTAATAAATAGAAAGTAAGTACTATGGAAGTCATGCGCTGTAACTCACCGGTCATCAAAGAAGGCGTAACCGAAACATCTCGTTGTCTCCACCTTCTTGCATTTCTGATTGGTTAATACAGTGGAGAGGCGTAACTTGAAAAACATTTCTGGGAAACGGTGAGATAGATTTCACTCTCTCCAAGAAGTATATTCTTTCCTCTATTAATTCTAACTCCTTAATTAGAAGCGAAACTTTAAACAAACTACTTCCTTCACCTAACTTACGCTCAAAAGTAGCATTTTTGACATTAATGTATAATGAGGAATAGTAATTTCTTAAAAAATGTAATTATAATGGAATAATTCTATTTTTATTTTTGCTTCAGAGCACAATTTTCAAAATTCCAGGAAAACATAATGAAATAGATGCATTCTTCCAATTAAAAGCTGGAAATAACAAAAACTGCTGTAAGATGTAGAAAATTAGCAGTACTTTGTTACGTAGAGTTTCAACGCAAACGTAATATTTTGCAATGAAAGAATTAGTTCATTATTTTCGAAAAGTGTTCTTTTTGAATAGCAAATCAACTATGCAATAAGGATTACAATCAATTAAGATCATAAATAAAAGAAATACGAAATGAAAGTGCAATTACAATAACAGATTTAACAATAACAGTACAGAGTTGATTAAATTGTTAAAAAAAAAAAAATCAGATTATAAACGATGGCCGAAGAGGGCTCTTTTAAAGTTTAATATGATCTATAATTAGAGATTACGAATAGAGATGGCCCAGGTGGAATAACAAAACATTTTATAGGATGTTAAATGAATATGCATTTAGATTAAAATGAAAACGATATATACATCTTCTGGATACTTAAAAAGTATGTAATGTATTCTATTAAAATATATGACGCTTATAATTAGATGTATCAAATTAAACGCATTTTTATTTAAATCAATCAGATTAAAAACTAAAAAAATAATATTTTTAAGAACTGCATCTATAACTTTTAAACAGTTTAATTTGTTAATAAATAACAGACATATTGAATAAGAAAGAATAATATATTACTTTTTTTCCTAACGGCACCAGACACGAATGAAAAGTCAAACAACATATTAAAGTGAAATAACACAAAATCATGCTTCGAGAATAACTGCCCTTTTGGCTTAAAAGAAAATAAGATAAAACAAATAAATTAATAATAATAATAATAATAATATATATATTTATATTTAAACAAATTTAAATTCTTAACAAATACGTATAAAAGTAAAAGTAAAAAAATAAAAAAAAAAATAAAAATAAAAAAATTTAAAAAAAGCAAATTTAAATTCTAAAAAAAAGAAAAAAGCCAAATAATTTAAAATAATTTTTAAATATGCAAACATGTAAAAGATTTAATTCTCGAACTAATCTACAATATCATTTAAATTCAGAAGCATAAGCAAATCAAGTGCAAAATCTATCCATGAAAATAAATCTACTAATTTAATAAATTAAAATTAAATTAAACAATTTTTTTTAAAAAAATGCATATGTGAATGATCGTAGAGTAGAGTAGGCAGGAGACAGACTTATCAAGGGGAAGTTGCCTCCAAACCTAACTCTCCAATCATTCAATTCGTGTTTCGTCATTCATGCAGGCAAGGGTAAAAGTCAAAACCAAAAGTAATTCCAATAAAGTGGTATCCTTAGAAATTTACATTTAAGTATTAACATTTAAGAATTAAAGTTCAAAAAGGAAAATACTAATTAAGTCTTTTGAGAAACAAGCAAGTAAAGTCAAGAATTAAACTTTTTCTTAAAAAATTAAATTTTTTAAAATTAATTCTTTAAAAAATAATAAAAAAATCTAGAAAGTAATGTATTTTAGAAATCCTTGTCTACAGAAACTTCCCCTACACGAATATGCATTTCAATAAAAAGAAACTATAAAAGAATTATACATAATCCATATAAACCAATAAGAAATAAGAAACAAAAATTTTTTTTTAAATAAATGTATATTTAAAAATATAATTTCATATTTAGAAAATACTTAGATACTACATAAAAAATAAAAAAAAAAATACTTAAAGCAAGTAAATAGTAAGTTTTAATTCTAACTTACCTATTATATGAGTGTTGGGGTTTGCAAAAGTGTTGTGAAAGAGAAGTAAGTGTGTTCTTCAAATTATATAGATGGCGCTTATGTAGGTAAAGTTGAGTGTCAAGTTGCTATCTTTGTTATAGTAAAAAAATTTTTGTAAATATTAATATTAATTAAATTAAATTAAATTAAAAATCCTAAAGGTAGTAATATCAATTATTTAGGGAGTTAAGTAACTGAGCTAATCAAGAGATGTATGTTTGCTTGAAGGAAATTAAAGTGAAGTGGTATGTGAAAAAAATGTAAACTGTTTGTAATTTGAAATGTGTGTTCTGTTGAAAAATTGTGAAAATTGTTAAAAAAATTTAAGTGAAAGATATTTTTTGTGAAAATTGCAAAAAATTAAAGTAATTAAGAAAAACTGAAATGTTTTAATATTAAAGTTTTAAAGTAAAATTTCCCAAAATTTTTTGAAATGAAGTCCTTAAAAAAACCTCTAAAAATTCCCAGAAATTTCTCAAAAATTCCTTTAGGAAGTTAAATAAAACTTAAATTTGATGAAAGAAAATATTAAAAGTTTAATGAACTTGATATAATTGGTATATCAAAACTTAACTAAATACTGGCTAAAGTATGGAAAATTAGAAGAAGATTAAATTTATTCTTATGAAACAATATATATATATATATATATCTGAAAGGTTTCAGATTTTAAATTACGTTCAAAGGAGCGTTTTTTTTTAACATTTTATCTGTTACCTTTATTTATTAAATATCACGCGCTTCGCACTTAAACCATAAAATTCAGTTCAAGAGCAATATCGCAAAATAGTTTTAAATTGAGCATATCTTAAAAAGTCTCACGCGCTGGAGATAAAAATGTCTTTTCTGTACAACGTTGCCATTGCTCGCTTTGAAATCCTAGAGTTTGTTAATTAAAAATTCGTTAAAGTTTTACAAAATAAGAAATCGATAATAAAACAAATTCCAAATTTCAAATTTGGGCTTCCATGTACCCATATTCTCAGTAGGATTAGAATATTCAAAATTTGATGGCTCTAGGTATAGTTGTTTTATTAGAATGCGAGAAACATACATACATTTATGCAGATTCTTCATTATTTAATATTTTTAAATATAATACAGGGAGATAATATTTGGTGGCAACAGTTTGGGAAGGGAAACGAGCATTCAGAGTGATTCGACGCAAAATCGCAAGAGGAAAAGAATTGTCCAGCAGGGACAAAGCCCCTTTGGACTAATAACAAAATCTGAGAGCTTTGATATTTTATATTAAGCCTAAAGGGGAGTTTTTTTTTACCTTTTATGTGTTACCTTTATTTATTAATTATCATGTCCTTCGCACTTAAACCATAAAATTCAGTTCAACAGCAGATTATGCAGATTCTT